TAAGCATAGAGAAGGCAGCCCAAGATGACCTCCAGATGGGTGGGGATGGTTGGGCTAGAGCGTTGCGCCGGGTGTGCAGTGAGAGTTCCCACGCAGTGTCTGTGGTGATGATTCCACTCTTCCATCAAGGGTGAGCATGGTGGGAGGGCCTGAGCCCCTGCATCTCCTCAGTCTGGGCTGACCTAGTGGGGAGCTGGAAGCAGCTGTTAGTCTTGAGCCAGCCTTCATAGATGCCTACCATCTGTCTGAAATGGCTGGAGACAGGGGAAATAGAATCCTTGGGTTTTTAAAATCCGGAAAGAAGAGAAACTCCACCCATGAAACATAACCCCAAGTAAAGGGTTTGGAAGCAGGGTGTTTAATTGCCAAACCTTTCTTGAGATGCAGCTGCCGGTAATGTTATCTTGACTGCTCCTGAGGCTGGAGGAGAGTCTGTATGGGCCGCTGACATAGGCTTGTAAACTGAGCTAGCTTTCTTGGATGACCTCTGCCCTGTCCCCCTTCCCTATCACCTGTTCTTTCCCTGCAGTTTCTCTCTGAAGTTTCCAGTGCTGGCAAGGCCAGCTCAGGGAGACTTAAGAAGCTCTGGTGTTAGGGTAAGAAGCTAGGCATGGGCTGGGGTGGGATTCTGTGTGTTCATCACCAGTCTGGAGTGATCATCTCAGATGTCCGAGGTTTGGAAGAAAGAAGATAAGAGAGAGAGAGGGGTCTGGAGATTGTCCTCATATCTCTGGGCTTATCTCCAGGGAGGTCTCTTGCCATTTCTTCAACCCAGGATTTAGACTCTGTCCAGCAGGGTAGGCTGGGGTCCTCTGGTAAATCCCCGAAGTTTGGGATAACTTGGGAATGGGGGCTCGCTTCCTTAGCCTTCACATGAGTCACATTCATGGCTGCTCAGGGCATAGAAAGTGGGGTGCAAGATATTAGCAGGAACAATCCTTTGCCAAACAAGGAAATAACTGCTTTTGGGGGGCAGCATGGCTATATCCTCGCTGGATGGCTGCAGCTGACAAGGGCCACAGGAACAGCTGTCAGCTCTTCCCTCTGGCTAGTTCTCCAGCAGCGTATACCTTTAATGTGGGTTTAGGCCAAGGGTTAAACAGAGATGACTTCCTGTGAATTTTCAACTTTTATTTTTAAAATAGAGACAGTCTCACTATTTTGTCCAGGCTGGTCTCGAACTCTTGGGCTCAAGCGATCCTCTTGCCTCCGCCTTCCGTAGTATGAGCCTTCTTGGGCACGAGCCATCGTGGCCCTGCTAATTTTCAACATTTCTGAAGAGTAGAGGGCAAAGGACTTTTCCGAGGGGGCATGCTCTGATCATGTGTGGAGTAGTCCCAGGCTAGGCTGGGAGGTGGGACATCTGGGTTCCTGTACCAGCTCTGTCACCAATGGGTTGTGAGCACACTCCAGTGAGAACCATGTTTGCATCAGTCCTGGCAGCCCTGAAGATTGTGTCCTTTGTATAGAGGAGGGGTCTGAAGGCCTGAGTGGCTGGGCTGGGGTCTTGCAGCTGATAAGGAGGGTGCTGCACCCACGTGTGGCTGACTGCAGAGTCTGCTGCTTCCTACCTGGCCATGCACCATCCTTGGCAAATCACTACCCTGGCCCCTGGGTTTCTCCTCTGCTAAAGGAGAGGCCTCCCTGGACCCTCCCAGCTGCCAGGGGCTGTGAGCCTGTGATTCATTCTCTCTAGGAGGTGAAGGAAAGCCTAATTGCTAGTGGGATGGGGATGTTTGTTAAGCCTCAATTAGGCTCGAAGCCCTTCCTCTCTGCTCTGCTTGGCTGGTTCTGGAGAAAGGCTGATATCTAATGTCCTGCAGGCGAGTGCAGCCCCATCTCCAGGGCCAGATAGGCCACTTGCGGCCTCCTCACATTTAGCTGCTGGGGCAGAGGTCAGGGAGACTGCGGGGTCAGCCTCTGCTCCTGCCCCAGGACCTGCAGGAAGGGGAGATGCAGGTGGGAGGGGGGATGAGGCTGGGAGTCAGCAGGGGGATGGGATAGGTTATAACCCCAGGAAAATCCCACAGCATTGAGTTTGAGGGGGTCCTCGGCATCGGTTTGATTTTGTAGTATTCCTAATTGTTTGCTTGCGTCTGGGCTCCCAGTTCTGTGTCTTCTAGGTCTCGGGCTCTTGGAGTCACCTTTGCTCCCGAATGCTCCTCTGGGTGCCCTCCCTCAGCAAGGGCTCTGCTTTATTTAAAAAGATGGTGTCAACCAAAAATAAAATTTGAAGGCCCCTGGCAACCATTTAAATGCACTCCCTCCTCGGCCTGGGGCCCCCTAAAATTGAACCTGAAAGACTGATTGGGGCCATGATGACAGGACGTGGGGATCAGACATGCTTCATTATACTCTCCAGCATCAATATTAGTGCAAACCTTAGGTCTGATAAGAAACACAATGTGTTCTCTCTAAAGCGTGCTGCCTGGAAGCTTCACCTGCTTGATAAAACCTTGGTTTCCACAAACCCTTATCTTAACCCAGACACTCCTTTCTAGTGATAGTAACTCTTTCACCTAGTACCAATCAGAGTATGTTTAAATTCACCTACGACCTGGAAGCCCCCGTCTCCCACTTTTAGTTGTCTCGCCCTTCCAGATGGAAGAATATACATTTTATATGTATTTATTGATAAATTGTATTTCCCTAAAACGTATAAAGCAGGCTGTACCCCGGCCCCCTTGGGCACATGTCCTCAGGACCTCCTGAAGCTGTATCACAGGTGTGCCCTTCACCTTGGCAAAATACTCTTTCTAACTTGATTGCGGCTTGTTCCAGATACTTTTTGGTTTACAATGCCATTCAGTCCTGATCAAAGTAGTTCCATTTAGATAAATTTACACATAGAGAAATAGTCTAGTGCGGTTAAGATCATATGTATTAGAACTCAGCTAGACCTGGGTTCAAGTCTTTTGCTCTGTAACTTAGCTGTGTAACCTCAGGCAAGTTGCTTAGCTTCTTGGAGCCTCACCTTCTTCTTGTACAATATGGGAATAATAATCTTCAGCTACCTCATGGGCTGAAGATTAAATAAGCTAATGCATATAAATGCTTTATGCTGTACCGGCATCTTTCTTGGACGACCTCTGCCCCATAGATGTGGCATCTAGTAACATTTAGTTGCCTAAACACTAGGTAACATTAAGTTACAAAATGGTTTTACGATGTATCATGTGATATCTATTTACAGATGGTATATAGCAAAGCATAACCCCATTTATTATGGCTGATGAAGATAGGGGTGGCCCTTCACCTGTGTTCTGTCTCAGGGTCGCATGTCATAAATGCCCCATCTCTGAGGGGCAGCACTCAGGCCTGTTTGCTTTAGCTTTATGGCCCTCTCCTTGGTTACATTTCAGAAAAGACTCCCTATGGCCCGAGGCTGCCTCTGTGTCATAGAGCTAGGCAGGGAGAAGAGACTGGATTCAGCTCATTTTCTTGTGTATTACCTGAGCAGCCAAGCATAAAGCCTCACTGTGCTGGCTGCAAACTCTGTTCCAGGCATCTGGGAAGTCAGCCAGTCTGATGGCAAGGTGTCTAAATGCCACTTCTCCTTGCTGACATTCCTTCTTCTCATCATGGCCCAGATCCCTGGCCTCACTGGCTATTTTGTTCTTACTGGTAGAGTCCCCCAGCCCCACCCCCGCGGACCTACTGGACATAGTGACTAGGCTGAGGCACAGGAATCTGCATTTTTAGGAAGCCGCCCCTACCTCTAGCTGATCCTAAAGGGCGCCCTGGCCTGGGAACCACCATTGAGAACCTCCAGCCACTGCCTCTCTCCTGAGGGCGGAAGTAAGGCAGAGGCCTGGAGTGTGTGGCCTCTGCCTTACTTCTTCCCGGGGCGGGGGTCAGGGGGTGGCTTTCTCTCTTTCTCCAGGGATTCCTGACCCAGTTCAGCCTTCCAGAGTGGCCTGAGCTCCTGAAGAGCCTGATGGAGACTTGGAACCAGGGTGACAGCCTGGCCCCAAAATGACTTCATTGTGAGGCTCCCAAGAGAAAAGTTTTCCAATCTCCCACGTGCTAACACCTCTTCTTCAAACCCGTTTCTCATCCAGAAGACCAGTGTGTTTGTTCAACATAGCAAAGTGTTTTCTGAGCACCTGCTCTGTGCCAGGCACTGAGCAAAGACAGGGATGCTGAGATGAGCCATACATCTCTGAGTGCTTCTGGTCTCCCAAAGGGCTTTTCAGAGTCAGTTCTGAGGATCCACTGAAGTAAAATAACCCGGGATTTGTTAAAAGTGTAATGTCTAAGCCCTCAGAACCCAGGTCTGCAGAATTTCAGAGTGGGGTCCACCTGCAATTTTGGAAGGCCTCTCGTAGACTCTCATTTACTCTAAAGTTTGCAAATCAGTGAAAATTAGCTATCTAAAAAGGCCAAGTGCAGTGGCTCATGCCTGTAATCCCAGCACTTTGGGAGGCTGAGGCAAGTGGATCACCTGAGGTTAGGAGTTTGAGACCAGCCTGGCCAGCATGGTGAAACCTGTCTCTACTAAAAATATAAGAACTAGTTGGGCATGGTGGTAGGCATCTGTAATCCCAGCTACTCAGGAGGCTGAGGCAGGAGAATCGCTTGAACTGGGGAGCTGGAGGCTGTGGTGAGCTGAGATCATGCCACCACACTCCAGCCTGGGCAACAGAATGAGACTCTTTCTCAAAAACATACAAACAAAAATGTAATGACCTAAATTTTATGTTTATTGTATAAAAAATATACAAATAAAAAGAAGGAAATTAAACCCACTTGCTCTGATCCTACCTTGCTGAGATAATCATTGCTGGCATTTGATGAAATATCCCTCTAGGGGCGTGTGTGTGTGTTTAGACATATATCATAGCATCCACATGGTAGCTGATACTGTGCTAGGCCCTAGGGACAAATGAGATGAGAAAAGAGTGGTCCTGGCCATATGGAACACCTGCAGTCATGTTACATGATGCCTGGCACAGCCTGAAACCCAGCCTTGCTCACCTGCTGTTACCTTTTTCCCATAGGTATACATCATCAATGTGACCTGGTCCGACTCCACCTCCCAGACCATCTACCGGAGGTACAGCAAGTTCTTTGACCTGCAGGTGAGTTGGTTGGAGCTCTGACAGTGGCCCAAGTCTCCTGGTGGGCTGGCGTCTCTCCTACCCTCGCTTATCCAGGAAGCCCCCAACAGACCTATCAGGGTTAGAGTCCAGGTGGGAGCAGAGGGACAGAAGAGGGAGGCTCGAAGGTAGAGCTGGGCTTGTCTCAATGTTGGCCTCCTCTGATGGTCTTAACAGTCATGCTTTGTCACCCTCCCTTGCCTACAGGGTAGGAAACAGTGGTGGAGAGGCGGGAGGATAGCGAGAGGATGGCGGGAGGATGGCGGTAAGGTGCTGGGTGCCTGAGTAGGCATGTGTCTGTAAACATCCAGGGTGAGATAGAAGCCATCACATCATTGCAGGCAAAGAAAAGCAAACACGCAGGGAAGACTGAAACAGAAAATAAGCAATTTTTGAACTACAGGCACAAACTAGGCATACATTTCACAGTGTCTGTCCGACTGAATGCGGCACTTGCCGCCCAGTTTGCACTTGTACGTGGTAGGTGTGTGTCTCTAAGATACATGGGCACGTTCACAAGGGGGATGGTAGTGTGGTGTGAGTCCCACAGCTACCCCTGTAGACACCCCCTTGGTGCCAGCTAATTTAGTTAGGCATCTTTGGGTTGCAAGTAATAGTTTTACACTCACACTGGCTTAGACACAAAGGAGACTTGATTGGAGGAGGGATCAGGGAAGCTTGTGCAGCCGGCCACATAGCGAGAAGGGCAGTGAGGCAGACACCTACAGGAATACCTGTGTTAAAACGCGCACACTGAATGAAGAGAACCCCTAAACAGGCTTTGTATGAGCAACAAGGCTGTTTATTCACCTGGGTGCAGGTGGGCTGAGGCCGAAAATGGAATCGGTGAAGGGTGGTGGGATGGGAGTTGGTTTTATAGGTTTGGGGTGGGCAGTGGAAAGTTACAGTTTAGAGGGGTTTTTTGCAAGCTGGGAGAGGGTCGTAGGTTTGCAAGCTGGGAGGGCGTTATAGGGTGTGGAGTCACAGAGTTGGCCAAGCTGGGAGCGGGTCCTAGGGTGTGGCGTCACCAGGTTGGCCAAGGTCGGTTACAAAGTCCAGTGGCCTTGTCATTTGAGGCTGGAATAAGAAACAATCAAGAATGTCTCAGAGTTAAGTAGGCGCCACAGGGGTTGATCATTTCTTCCTCTCTCCGAGATCTTACAGCCATTCCAGGTTTTCTCATTTCAGAAGGCCCTCCAGAGGTGTACGTGTGGTTCACGGGGTTCGCCAAGCCGTCCCTGGTGCGGTCAGACCTTACAACCTGAAACCAGGATCTTCTCTCCCCGTGTCTTGTCTCTGCTTCCCTCTGGTGCTGCCCTCGGCTTCTGTTACCTCACACCCTGAGGAACATGGCTGTCGATAGCTCTAGAATTTTACAGCTTTTGGCTCCCAACTGAGGAGAGATTGACTCTTTCCCAGTTCCAAGTTGAAAAATCCCAGGGAGATTCTGACTGGTCTGGCTTGGGTCGGGTGCCCTCTCTGGACCAGTCAGTATGGCTGGGCGTTGAGGGCCTCTTAGCACAGTCATGGACGCTAGGGAGCTCGCCTCTGTGAATCACAGGCAAGTACCAGAGAAGGGACAGTCAGTATGAGATGAACAGCAACCCTTCCAGGTCGAGCCAAGATGTTCCAGATTCCTCCTGGGGGCTGTGAGCCTGGTTTAGGCCAATAAAAAGCAGAGAGACACCCCCTTCAACCCTCACGGCCAGGGTCCACTCCTTTCTTGGCAGGCCTTTGGTCGTCAGTCATCTTGAAGAGGTCATCTTGGGCGCCCTGTGCTTGCCCCCGATACCTGATTCTATCTCATTGTCCTCATTGCCCTGCCTATGAGACAAGTCAAGGGTGAGCCAGCTTCCTGTATGACAAATCCTCTCTAATCCAACCATATGGGATTGAATATCTCATTGAATATGGGATTGAAAGCCACTCCTTACTCTCCTGCCTTCTTCCTCTTCCCTCTTCAATGCATGTCCAGTCTCCTTGGGTCCAGTGTAGGCTGGTGGGGTTTGCTGATACCCCATCAATGGGTGCAGTGTGCTGGACAGGAAGTGATAACTCAGTTGGGGAGAGGGAACCCTGAAAGGACTCATTGATGAGCTGGAGGGGGCCTGAAAGCCAGTGGAAACTTCCACATCAGAACTTTTCTTCCCCCTCTTCTGTTCTGGCCCCCCACCCCCTCCCGCATTTCAGAATCTCAGGAGAAAGGAATGCTGCTCCCCCTCAACCACCTCCCTTGCCGGGAGGACTCATTCCCTGTGTGTGGAAAGGGTGTACACAGGCCAGGAGCAGCTAGTGCAGTGTGCTGGCCATAGCTTGGCAGTGGCCATGAGCTTGATCAGGCTTGGCCCTGTGGGTCATTGCTGACCTGTAGATGCAGTTTGGGAAGGGGTTGGAATGGTTCTTTGGAAATTAACTTATGAGCCAAGCATAACATCTTTATGAACCCATTTTATCTGCCATGATGCGTTTCACTGGCGTTCATTTTGGAAAGCCTTGCTCGTTTATCCGGTCGCTGATTTAGCGTGGTGGATTGTATAGAGGAAGAACGAAGGGATTTGCTAACTCCATCTCTGGTCATTGGTGCACCTCAGAACTCATGTCTCTGAGAGGTTGTGAAGAGCGCGGCTTAGACTTTAGGCGCGGCGGGCACATTGCCTGGGACTGGTTACGGGCTGTCACTGTGTAACTCCGGACAGGTTTCTTCACTTCTCTAGGCTTGCTTTCCTCAGCTGTGGTGTGAAGGTTCGAATAGTGCCTGCCCGGTAGGCTTATGAGGAGGACTGAATAAGTGAATCCAGATTTCTCCCAACACTTAGTTGCCTGGTGAGTTGCCTGGTGTTGCCAGGTCATAGGGATGTTGGGCTGCATGGCTGGGGTGCCTAGGGGCTGGGGACCCACTCCCTGATACTGCCTTGTGGCCTCCCTCACTTGGCGTCACTCTGCGGTGAGCTCTCTGTGCCCGGTCCCTGCCAGCATGGGGAGCTCGTTGGGAGCTGGGGTGTGGCCCAGGGGCGGCTATCAGACATGATTTGCTCCTTTCATGTTTGGCCAACCCTGGAAGTCCCAGGCTCACCAGGCCTGCCTCCAGCCAGCTGCTCCCCTGCCTTCACCAGCTCCTGGTTCTAAGCCTCCTGAGGGCCACAGATGCGCCTGGGAATCTGATGGAAGCCCTCTCCCCAGAAAAAGAGCGGATACATACAATTTTACTTACGGTGACAAGTGTTCACAGACCCCTTGTGGACCCCCAGTGAGGGAGGACCTGCTGATTAGCCAGGGGTGATGGTGGGCATGTAGTTCCAGGTACTCAGGAGGCTGAGGTGGGAGGATCAATTGAGCCCAGGAGGTTGTGGCTGCAGTGAGCTATGGTTGCACCACTACACTCCAGCGTGGGTGACAGAGTGAGGCCCTGTCTCAAAAAAGCAAAAACAACAACAAAAACTGCCAAACTCAATGAGTTTAGATCATGAATCATACATTCAATCCAGTACTACTTGGGCAGCATTTTGGGGGTCTATTCAGATAACAACAGGAGGCCTGGACACCCCTTTGATAGACCTCTAGTTCTCCCCGCCTCCGCCCCTGCACAAGTTGGTTGCCTGCACCCCAACATGGGTCTCCCGGTACTTCCCTCTCTTATCTCTCCCTCTTCAGATGTTTTCCTTTGTTCCCGAAGGCGAGGTACCCATGAGGCGGCCTTGGGTTCCAACCTCTGTCACACAGCCCGGGAGCCATGTGCAAAGTGATCCCATGTGGTCCCTGACCCTCTCTGGCTATGAGTTGAAGGCCATGGGGGTTTCGTGCAGATCCAGTTTCATTCAGAACAGCACACAGACCCTCTGTTTCTCCCTCTGAGGGCACACAGGGAGATGGACACCTGCACCCCGCCCTTCCCACTCTGTAGCCATGAGGCCAGGAAGCACTTGAAGGGTGCTCTGTCGTCTGAACAGAAACCCCACACTCTTCGGTTTGTCCATTTCTCTCCACGGCAGCTTCTACATCAGCACAGCTCTTCCGCAACCCCTACCCCTGCACTTTCCACCCCCTACCGGATACTAAGATCTGAAGCAGACCATTTTTTCTGGTTATTATCTTCAAAGCTTCTGCCTGGACCTAAGTGCCCTGCGTGTGAAGCTCTCAGTAGATCATTTGAAATGAACAGTCTCAGGCACATGCCAGCCCTGAGGCAGCAGCAAGCAGGAGGAGCTAAGAGCTGAGGCTTATCCTTGGAGACGGTTGGCTGTCTCTTTGGGGTGACTCATGGCATTCAGGACAGGGTACTTAGAACTCTGGTGGTGCACTGGGGAGCTGTTCACAGGGAATGGGAGAAGTCAGAGGGTCGGGAGACACTGAGAGAACTGCCCTCACCATCACCTGGTGACTGCTCGTTCCATGCTTTCTGAAGCCGTAGGACCCTGCAGAGCAGAGGCATTGATCTTCCCATCCCACCACCCACCTTCTTCACTTACAGCTTCCCTGCTACCTGTGAGGTCTTGGATTAGGGTTGCCAGATAAATATGAGATGTCCAATTAAATTCACATTCCAGGTAAACAGCAAATGCTTTTTTAAGAATAAGTGGCTGGGCGCGGTGGCTCACACCTGTAATCCCAGCACTTTGGGAGGCTGAGGCGGGTGGATCAAGAGGTCAAGAGATCGAGACCATCCTGGTCAACATGGTGAAACACCATCTCTACTAAAAATACAAAAATTAGCTGGGCATGGTGGTGCGTGCCTGTAATCCCAGCTACTCGGGAGGCTGAGGCAGGAGAATTGCTTGAACCCAGAAGGCGGAGGTTGTGGTGAGCCGAGATCATGCCATTGCATTCCAGTCTGGGTAACAAGAGCGAAACTCCGTCTCAAAAAAAATACAAAAAACTAAAAAAACAAAGACGAACAATATTGTTCTACGCCATTCCAGATATAACAAAGGAAGGTGCCATAGACATATAGGAAACCTTATATTCTGGGTTCAGGGCAGGCTTCC